CTCTCTCTCTCTCTCTCTCTCTCTCTCTCTCTCTCTCTCTCTCTCTCTCTCTCTCTCTCTCTCTCTCTCTCTCTGTGTCTGTGTCTGTGGCTCTCCCTGTCCACCTCTCTTTTTCTCTGTCAAAGAGCAAGTAGTGCTCTCTCTCTCAGGGTGTCCCGCACTCTCTCTTGACCCCCTTGGGCCTTGAACCTCTTTCCTTGCGGTTTGTTCTCCCTCCATCCCCCTCACTCTTCAGATTTTCTTCCGTATTAGTTGGTTTTCATTTTTTGATTGTTATATGATTTTCCCTGGCTGTATTTGCATCAGCCTACAAATTGTCCCCCCAGGATTTTACACTCTTTTATTGATTCTCTGCCGGCAAACACTCCCAAATTTCAGATGACAAACTTCTCCTCGTGACCCCAAGGGTTTGGAATTCATTTACGATCACTTCTTCATGTCTAATGTGCATTTTCATCTCCGTAAATCAGGTGAATATCAACTTTTTGTTAACTTTCTTCATTTTCCTTATCAGTTCGTTAATCTCCCGTTCACCCTTCCATCAACATGACGTTCTTCATCTGGATGTTTCGAACTTCGAGTGCAATCTTTGCAACGCCTACCTACTCTGCACACAAATACGTCCGTCAAACAATTCCCAATCAAACCCCTCCACATCAACTTCATAGCTGGCTCAGCTGACACATTCATCGATCCAAAGCCAATTCCGAGTGCTCAGGCAAGAAGGGATGAGGGTAGCGAGGAGGAGGGACGAGGAGGGAAGGAGATGCAAAAACCAACAAGCAAACAGTTGTCTGCAAACATCACATACAATATGACAGACATAATGAGATGCTGAGAGAGATAGGAGGGGGATGAGGAGGGATGAGGGGAGCGATGAGGAGGGACGAGGAGGAAAGGATGAGCAGGAAGGAGGAAGGAGCAGTTTGTCTCTCTCTGTCTGTCTCATGCTCTGTGTCTCACACTCTGTTCCTCTACTTCTCAACCTCCCACACTGTCCCTTTCTCTCTCACCCTCTCTCCCACCCTCTCCCTCTCTTTCTCCCCACTGTCTCTCACAGCCCCCTGCCTCTCTCTCTCTCTCTCTCTCTCTCTCCCCCCCC